TACAATGTCATATTAGAACGACCCGCTCTTAACACCCTAAGAGCCGTACCCTCCACTTGTCATCTTATCCTCTGTTTTCCAACTCCAAATGGAATTAGAGAGATCCGAGGAGATTAGGTTACACTAAGAGAATGCTACATCTCCTCCGTGAGGACCAAGAAGTCACAAAAAGCCCTACAAGTGGAGTTGCTCGACCCTAGAGATGATGCTGCACTAGAAAGAGGAGATCCAGTAGAGGAGCTCACACCAGTGATCCTAGAAAAGGAGCATCAAGAAAAAAGGGTACACATTGGCTCCTCCCTCCCTGAGGATCTAGCCCGCCATCTTGTGGATTTCTTAAGGCAAAATCTGGACATCTTCGCATGGACGCATGCGAACCTTGAAGGCATTGACCTTGAGGTCGCCACCCACCACCTCAACGTTGAGCTTCATTATAAGCCTGTCCATAAAAAAATGAGAAGTATCTCCACTGAAAAGGGCGCATGCAATGGATAAGGAGGTGAAAAAACTAACAGAAAATGGAGCATTCAGAGAAGTAGCCTATCCAAATTGGCTATCAAATGTTGTAATGGTGACCAAGGCTAGTGAAAAATGATGCCTTTGCGTCGATTTCACTGAACTCAATAAGGCGTGCCCTAAGGACAGTTATCCGTTGTCGCGAATCAACATCCTCATCGACGTCACTGCTGGTCATGAGGTGCTCATCTTCCTAGATGCATACTCAGGATATAACCAAATTATTATGTATCCCCCGGATCAGGAAAAAACATCTTTTATTACTCCAAAGGGAACCTACTGTTATAAGGTCATGCCTTTTGGACTGAAGAATGCAGGAGTAACGTACCAACAGCTGGTGAACAAGATGTTCTAGTCACAAATTGGAAGAACAATGGAGGTATATGTGGATGAGATGCTGGTAAAGAGTCTCGCCATAGCATACCATGTAAACCACCTACAGGAAACTTTTAATGTTCTCAGAATGTACCACATGAAGCTGAACCCTAAGAAGTGCGCCTTCGGCGTCGGATGAGGAAAGGTCTTAGGCTTTATGGTTAACCAAAGGGGAATCGAGATAAATGCAGATAAAATCAAAGCCATTTTGGATATGAGATTGGCCACCACAACAAGCACCTCAATGGAAGAATCGCAGCCCTCAATAGATCCATCCCCAAGTTAGCAGACAAGTGCTTACCCTTCTTCAGAATTCTTTGGAAAGCCTTTGAGTGGGGGCCCGACACAAATGAAGCTTTTCACAAATTAAAAGCTTATTTGGCTACGCCCCCTCCTTTCACATGTAATGCCAAGAAAAACTTTGTACTTGTACCTCTCCGTTTCCCCATCGGCAGTAAATTATGTCCTCATTATAGATAATGAAGAAGTACAAAGACCCATTTATTACGTGAGCAGAGCATACCGGGGAGCAGAAGTAAGGTATTCAGGGCTAGAAAAGCTAGCACTCTCCCTAATCTCAACAGCGAGGCTCTCCGCCACTACTTCCAAAGTCACACTATCATTGTTGTCATGGATCAGCCTCTAAAGAGAGTTATGGGGAAGCCAGATGTTTTTGGAAGACTCCTAAAATGGGCAGTAAAATTGGGTGAATTTGATATACAATACCAGTCGAGGGCAGCCATCAGAGCACAAGCCTTGGTAGATTTCATTGTTGAGCTCACATCGCTAGAGGAGGAGTGTTGTAGACCTTCAATATCTCCACCAGACATCCAGGAAGCCTCATTAGGAGTCCCACTAGGCACCCGGTACCCTAGGCAGGCGCCTTAGCCAACAAGCACCTAGCCCTGATGCCCAGGATAACTTGGAGCCCAACCTTGGTGCGCAGGGCATCCTGGCGCTCGAGGCAAGCGCCTTGACGTCCACTACGACCTCCAAGGCTCCCAATCTACCATCTCCCTACATTACGGAGTCAGTGTGCTGAAAAATTTATGTCAATGGCTCTTCAACTAGCGAAGAAAATGGAGCAAGCCTAATACTGATCAACCCTGATGGCACTCCCTAGAGGAAGCTAACTATGCCCTACGGAAAATACATGAAGGAGATTATGGAACCACTCTGGAGGTCGCTCCCTACCCCATAAGGCAGTCAAAAAAGGTTACTTCTAGACTACCATAGTTAGGGATGTACAGAAATTTACCAAGAAATGTGACAAGTGCTAACGTTTCGCCACTGTGCCCAGGTGGCCACCAGAGGAAATTGATAGCCATCACAAGTCCCTGGCCCTTTTTCAAGTGGGACATCGACATCTTAGGCCCTTTACGCATGAGCCCAGGGCAGTATAAATTTGTGGTGGTAACCATTGACTACATCACAAAGTGGGCGAAAATCGAACCCCTAGCCAAGATAACAAACTCAAAGGTAAAGGACTTCATTTGGAAAAACCTAGTTTGTCGCTTTAGAGTACCCCAAGCCATTGTCAGTGATAACGTCAAACAATTTGACAACAAACTCTTGAACTCTTTCTTCACTGACCTCTAGATAAAACAATCTCATTCTAGCCCAGCACACTTGCAGAAAAACTAACAAGCAGAGGTCACAGTTAGGACAGTACTGTGTAAACCTAAAGACAAGGTTGGAAAAAGTAAAGAGTCTCTGGGTAGACGAACTCCCGAGAGTATTATGGGCCTACCGAACGATGCCCAGGGCCCCGATTGAAGAAACTCATTTTTATTCGCATTCGAAACTGAAGCAATGATACCTATGGAGATTGTGATACATTCTCTAAGGATCCAACACCATGAACCCATCATCAACAAGGAAGGACTCCACATCAACCTCGACTTGATGGAGGACGAAAGAAAATGGCCATGGTCTAAAATGCGGAGTACAAGCTTCGCATGACGAGGTACTACAACTCGACGGTGAAGCCTCGTTCTTTCCTACCAAGAGACTTAGTTCTCAAGAGGGTAATCCTCGCCACAAAAGATTAGCGAGAAGGAAAGTTTGGACCAAACTGGGAAGGACCCTACCTCATAATAGTAATAGTGAGGGCAGATACCTATAGGATCTAGAATTCTGAGGAAAAAATCTTACCTCATCCATGAAATGCTGAGCACCTGAAGAGGTACTATTAATGACACTTGAGGAGTGCATAAGTAATAGAGGGCCTGATTTTACCTTTTCAAAAGACTTGTACCTTTTTTGGGTTATTACCCACCATTGCTTAGCATGAACAGTCATAAAATTTTCTAAATTTACTCCAAAAAGGCATTTGCGAGTTGTCTTCACCTATGCTTCTATTCTTAAGAGGGCAGACTCACCATCTGCCTTGAGATTAGTGCCCCTCTCGCAGGTCGCCACAAGCTCCACCTCAAGCTTAGCAGCCTTCTCGCGGGTGGCAACAAATTCTGCTTCAACCCTTGTGCAAGCAGGCTCTTTGAGTGCGGCCCTCTCACGGGTCGCCGCAAGCTCTGCTTGAAAAGCCTCACCATTAGCTTCGAGCTTAGCAATCCTCTACTAAGCTGCTAGTAGCTCCCCTATCACATCTTCATGAGCAAGCCTCTCCTACCTAACGGTCAAGCTCAGGTTGTTAAACTGAATGGCCCTTGAAAAAAGGCATGCAAACGAAGCTAAAACCTAAAGAGGATAAAAGAATGACAGTACCTAAGGGAGGGACAAAAGCAAGGGAGAAAATGGGCATTTACCTAGGCCAAGCCTTCCAGAGTAGTGTCGATGAAACCCTCAATGCCTCGAGCACCAACCTGACTAATGTCTGCAGGAAACATAAATCTCTCAAGTCGCTCCCTAACAATCTGCACATCATCCAACATGGAGACACTCTGAGTGGCAGCCCTTGTAGAAGTTCCTGTAGGAAGAGTTGATGAATAGGGGCACGAGGTGTAGCCGCCCAAAGAGTCTTTGAAGGGGCGCTCACCACAGGGACCTCATAAGGAGTCACTGATTAGGGAGGCGCCGCTGGAGGGGTCCCTTGAGGAGAGCCCGCTAGAGTATCACTCACCTTTGCCATCTTAGGTGGGGAAGTACTCCTAGTGGAATAACGGGACTCTACCACTATCTTATCCACTACAGAAGGGTAAAGTGTTAACCCGAAGAAAAATAAGTAAATGAAGAGAATCCTAAGGAAATCAACATACATTTTTTCTTCAAGGAAGAGCCGCCAGGCCTGGAAGAGGGTGCACCAATCCTAGCACTTCCAGTGGAAGAGTCTCCAGTTCCACCGTCTTTAAGCATGAAGGTTTCAAAGTCCTTCACAGGATGGACCTTCACAGCTTGCAATTTCCATACTTGGTCTTTTGAGAGCACCGAGGAGCCCGAAGAAATGTGATGAGTACACATTCGTAAAAAAGCAAAGGAAAAAGAATAAGAGTGGGCATACCAATTCTCTTAGGAGTGTCATATCTTGCAGGTACCAAAGTCCAGTCAGCCTCTGAAGTCCACTCTTCTCCAACAAATATAAAGCGAGTTTTCCAACTATGACAATTAGAGCACAATCCAATAATCAATTTGCCTCTCCTTGAAGTGAAGTAGTACCAACCACGATTGGGAGCAGAAGTCTCACTCAAAGTATAGGCCACACAAAAATCTTCAGGAGAAGCATCCTCATGATGCACTTTCCTCCACAACACAAGGAACTCCAGCAGAACTCTACAACCATTGGGTGCCAAGTGCCCTAGTGCAAATGAAAAACAATGGAGAATGCAACAAATAGAAGAAGACATGGGAAACCTTAGCCAACCTCAAGTACCTCATCATAAATAATAATAGCTCCAGAGGAATCATCACAAACAGGCTCCCCCATTTCAACTCGACAGCATAAGACCACAGGATGAATGCCATAAGTAGAAACAATCTGTAAAATATCAGCATCAGTGTTGAGAGTGCTAGAAATGGTACTTACTTTGGATCCATCGTCATTAAGAGCTACCTTTCCTTGGTGTTTGCAGTTACGAGGACGAAGAGAGACACTGCTTGGATCTATGTCAGGAGAGCCTTGGGAAGTTGGAGTTCGAGGGGTTTCACTAAACAAATCATACCATCCACCGCCTGCCTAGAGTCGTTGTTGTCGAAAACACTAGTGTTCCCTCCTCCATAGCTCCATACCCAAGCTCCATAGCTCTGTGCCCAAGCTCAGCCGTCTTGCCTGGCTCACCCCATATCAAGAACCCCGCCGGCGCCGCCCATTTGCGTCCAACGACCAACAACGCCACTGGCGTGCTCGTCTGGCCGTGCCTAGCATCCAGCAATGCCGCCTGCGAGCTCGCCTAGTCAGCCCCTGGCAACGTCGCCCTTGTCCGCGTGCTCCCCTAGTCAACCCCATGTGACGCCGCCCTAGCCCGCGCACTTCCTTGGTCACGCCCAGCCTTCGGTGATGCCGCCCTCGTCCATCCTTGCCCAGCTGGCATTGACCCTCCTCCACAATCAGTGCACCCACCAGTCGACGCCTGCCCATCGCCTCGTCTGGCATCCTAGGCCGCCTCGCCTGGCAGTGCCCATGGCACCTCACCTTTGGCGACTTGGGTTGCCTTGCCTAGCAGTGTCCATGGTGCCTAGTCCCCTGGAACCTCACCTTCGCCTATCCTCACCTCTCCAATGCGACTAGCCCCCCAGTTTCACCGGAGTTCGCCTCGACTCTTGCATTAACACCGATCGTTCCATCTCGCATCTCGTCTCCTTCACTTAACATCTGAGCACTCATCTCAAGGACAAAGCCACGAGCCTCACTCATCTTGCTTGAGTTCTTGAGTATCTTAAAAAGAAATCCTCTCTCAAGATGAATGGAATGAGGAGAAAAGGAAAACCCCCAATTTATAGCCTTGGGCATTTGAAATCTTGATAAAAGATAAAATGGGGGGAGTTTACATAGTGAGAGATGTCCTACAGAGATGAGCCATATCAAGTAAAAAAATAAATGAAATAAAGGGTCACCAGTTAAAAGGAGTCTCCCTCAACTAGAGTCCAAATTTAGCTAAATGTCCTATTCTCCAAGTTTTATTGGACTCGGGGCATTGGGGAGCAAATGATGGGCCAGGCCCAAGGGCCTAACTCAGGGTATAAGTCCAGCTTGAATAAAAGGCCCAACTAGACGAAACTCAATGGGTCCAACCTAAAAGAGATACACGCTCAGTCAGGCTCATCAGGGCTCCAAGAGCTACGTTGTTAAGGAGTAGGTAGAGTCATCCCAAGAATCTCATCCACACCACCTTGGAAGAAGTCAATCACGTCATTCTTAGACCTAGTCCTGGGGAGAGCTTTGTAACTGCCTTAGCCGTTGCGAGGAAGACACCAACTCCACCAAATTAGCTACTTAGTTACTAAAAAGGCACCTCAGTCTGTTAAAAGACACTATAAATTGTAAGCCCCGCTAGTACATGGGGGCATCGACCACATCTTGCATTACTCTCATCTTTCTCATTGATTGTACCTGATCTCCTTACATTCCTATAGCAATAAAATACCTTGGTTCTCCTAGTCCTTTATAGCGGAGTAGCTCACATTGATCGAACCACTCTATATTTGTGTCTTACTTGTATTAGCTCTCTTCTTAATTACTGCATTAATTACTAATCACTCAACATGTGATGCATAATACCGATCTGCGCATCATCAGTAGTCATTAATTAATTGTGAATTCCAATGTTAAGTGAAACTTACTTCTAGTCCAATAATTAAATTGAATTAGATATTAAATTAAATTCAAACAAAATTTTCCTAATATAAACCGATCAGCAAAAGAGTATTTATAGCTAATTTGAACTAAGCAATTGAGGGACAAAAAGCGAGCTGAGAGCAAGATTTGACAATTCAATGCTGGTACAGTGTTGCAGGGAGGGCGAGGGGGTGGGAGGCACATGCTTTGCAAGCGAATGTCTTACAAGACCACGTCGCTCTGTTCAATTTTTAAGGATTAGAGGAAACACCATCATGCATACCAAAGTCCATTCATTTCTTTTCTTTACAATTTAGCTATTAATGGCTTTCAAAAGTTAAAAAAAAAAAAAAAAACTATTAATGGCTTTGACATAGTATTATGTGCATATTATATATTTTATTGGGATATCGAGACTGTTAATGTCATTATGCCATGCCACTGATTTGGCCATTTGTTAACATGCCCAAACTGCTTATTCTGTTCGTTTTCCCAGTGGCTTTTTTTTTGGGGGGGGGGGGGGGGGGGGATTAAAGTTCTTCTACGAAGAGATTGCTATATATTTTTCTAAGAGGCATGTCCCCTCTTTCTAAATGATGCTTAGAAAAATGCATAGGTGAATAGGAAGGACAAAGGAGTTTATTCGGAATCAACAGTTAACTAATTTGCTATCTTCTTGGTTTTTTCAGCAATTGAATGGACTATAATTTAAGTTTCCTGTAAATCATCACCTGAATTAAAAACCACTTTAATGTGATCCTATCATGGATACAAGGGGAGCAAACCCAATGAAACTGATGAGGCCATAATCATCAACTCATTGTTGTCTAACTTCACCCATTTCTAGCCACTGATATTTAGTTTTGGTGATCAAGGCTTTTAAACTTTACTACTGTATCAAAAAAAAAAAAAAAAGTTGATACAATATAAAAGTTATTATTTTTTAATGTCGAGTTATGTTTTTTAAAGATGAAGTTACAACTATTTTGAATAATTTATGATTGTTATAGATCATGAATACTTCTAATAAGTAATAAACTTCACTTTAAAAAGCCATAACTTGATATTTAAAAGAGATAACTTTGTTTTTAGAGCAGACTATAGCCATTCACCCACTTTGTTTTTAGAGTAGACTATGGCCATTCACCCACGCACAAACATAAATCTAGGAATCTATTATAGTTGTCCTCAACGCCTACTGAGGCTCCTTTCAAGCATCTGCGGAACCCAAAAAAAAAAAAAAAGATAATCTAGAAGGCCCACTGGGGTAAAAAGGATCTTTTTGTGATATCTGAAAAAGAGAGAACTTTTATGGTAATTTTGTCCTGGGAACATGCCCTAAAGTTGTTGACCGGATGACCCCCGATATTTTGCATTATTTTAAAACAGGTGGAACATGTATTCCGTCTTAATAAAGTCATAAAACATATTACAGTTCGACCTCCCTAATTATATAAATATATATATAACTCTTAACAATATAAAATTCAATGTAACTGACTGACCACCATCTATCTTCCTCTTACGCTATTTCCTCCCTTCACAAGCTTCCAAACAAAGAGAATTTATGGAGAGTTTCAAGGTTTATTCTTGTTGTTGTCCTATGATATGTCTACGATAAAACAGAAAACAAATCCTATCCGGTCAATGGGTATGTATATCTTTGTTGATTGCTTAATTTCAAAACATGGTGGTGGCAACGACAGATCTCTCTTTCCAATCTGAAGAGCCGAAGATTCAGTGTTTTTCAATCCATGGCTTCCGCTGAGATCAAGGTTAAGCTAATTACTAGCAAGACCAATACTCATCGAAACTGGCCGTTTGGGTTTCTGGGTTTTTCACTATGACCATGATTAATCCTGCTGAAAACCTCTATAAATTACAGCATCCTTACGGTGGTTATGGTGGCCGCAGTTATTCAAACTGTTTTGGTGTTATGAACCAATTAGAAGGATATGACTGTGGTAGTAGTGAAGCTTGCTTAGGAGAATCAGATTTAGTTGTTGGTCGGATGGCAGAAGATGAATCAAAATCAAGAACTGAGAGTGTAAATGAAGCAGGCTCGAGCTCCAAGGACGTTCAAGAAGAGAAGGATGAGGGATGGCTTCAATTGAGTATTGGTGGCCACATGGCGAGCCATGACCATGACAACAAAGTTGATCAGCGCGTTGTTGATCTGACCAGTCGAAGAGGAGGATTGCTTGAACTTGATCTACTACCGGCCGGTGGTAGTTCACATTCACAGCAAGTGATCAGTCCATTAGCCCCTCCTATGTTTCATGCTCCTGATCAATTTAGAGCTCCAAGACCAGTTACAAATTTTACAAGTGCCACTGGTTATAATACATCGTTGTTATTTCAACACCCCGGAACTAGTAGCTCAACTTTTTCTCATCAAGAGATTAGCTGGGCATTTAGACCTTTCCCAAGAAATATAGCAGCAGCTTCTAGTTCTTCTTCTTCTCCTTCTTTAATGGCGCCGGGACCTTATTTCGCCCGACCATTTCAAATCCAAACCGGAATAGATATTGCGGGTCCAAGTATAGATTTCAGAGTTGTTGATCCTCCGCGGAGACCTCATTCTGGTATATGGTTTATGCTACAAGCATCACAAAATCAGTAAGTGGAAAAGAGGAAAAAAAATGATAACTATCAACATTTGTTCTCGATTTTTTTTTTTGTTGCACTTTGTTTTTCTTTTTGTTCTTTCTTCACCCTCCTTTGTTATACTCAAATTACTGGAACATCTTATATGATGGATTGATTTAATTTCTCAATGCAGAGTAAAAGAGCCATTTTTGCCTCAGATATCCAAAAGCTACCTGAGAATCAAGTAATTACTTCGACCCACGTCTTTATTCTTTCTGCCTTTGTTCTTTTCTGGCCTTTCTTCAATCATTACAAATATCCGAAAAGAAGATATTTATGCCTTGTTTGTGTTATTTTTCAACTTGGTCAGGGATGGAAGGATGACAATTCGGTTGTTAATGAAGTATCTGGTTAACAAGCTGAGATTGGACAGTGAATCAGAGGTATGTAAAATCATTACCACTGCTTCAGTTACATTTCAAATGCTAGTGAAAGTTCTTTACCCCAGTACGATTTAGTGTTGCTTCCTTCGCTCTATTTTGCAAAAAGGCTACAACTCACCCGTGAAAGATCAATAAAACTCAGATAGATAGATTGATAGATAAACCAAAAGAGAAAAACCAAGTCTTTTCAACAAGTAAATTATTAACATGTTCATGGACTTGGTTGGTGTGAGAAACATGAAAGGAACAGCAGAACTAAATGGGTGCTCTAATTTTTAATTACCACTTCTGATTACATCGTAATTAGGTGTGAAGTATATTTCTTGGTAGCCTTCTTTTTTTTTTTTTGTTGTATTATTAGCTTTCTAGGAATTAAGTGTGGGTCTAATTAAGGAAATGAGTCTCCCAAAGAATGGTCGTAAGCTTCATCTTGAGTTAGTTATTAATCTTTGAGCGATTGATTAATGTGTAGGGCTTAAGTGAAGAAAATGCATAGATAATGGAGAAAACTACGCACTACCTCCTTGCCCCCAACCACAAAGTAAACCGAAAGGAATAGCTTACCCATTGTCGTAGAAGTTGGTTTACTGCTGTCATCTTTCCAACCACATGCAGGAAAGTAACATTTCAATAATCTGGCCTAGTTCCATTAAATTCTAGGGAAATCCCCTCCCCTTACACACACTACAAAAAACTGTAATTTGACACTAACAGGAAACAAATTTACCTTTGACCAATAAAAGATCGGAAGTGCTAATTAGAAAAATTGGGAGTACCAGATTTCTAAAATTACTCAAGCCCATTTCCACACAAACTCAGAACAGCACGCATTCATATAGGTTCATAATGATGCATAGCTAATAACATAAGAACCCAATCTATGGTTAGATAAAAATCTGTGAAGTCGAATAAATTTAAACCATAGGGTCCATATTAGTGTGTCTTGAGTATTGTTGATAACACAGACCTTTTTTGATAGGCAAAAATTGTATTATTTATGAAAGTTGAAACATACAACACAGTTGAAGGATGCTCAATAGGGTCCATATACAGACCTTTTTTGATTTTTGATAGGCAAAAATTGTATTATTTATGAAAGTTCAAACATACAGCACAGTTGAAGGATACTCAATAGGGTCCATATACTAGTGTCTTAAGTATTGTTGATAACACAGACCTTTTTGGATAGGCGAAAATTGTATTATTTGTGAAAGTTCAAACATACTACACAGTTGAAGGATACCCAATGGCTCCTTAACTATACTTTCTCGAGGGATACTTAAGGACGGAACATACTTAAACTACAAGTGTAGTAATCTTACACCTTGAGATCCTAGGTATCAACTTCCTTCCACATCCAGAGAAACTAGGAATATAATTGCTTTTTAGAATAAAAATGAGTACAATAAAGAGCAAAGCAACTAGCCTTGTATACAACCCAAAAAATTAGGCACAATCATTATATACTCTTCAGGAGGATTATCTTTTTTTTGGCAACGCTTTCTTCTTCTCTATTGATGGAAAGCTTAATAGAGTCTGTTTGAAAGAGCTAAATATACCCCACTTTGTATGTGCCTCCTTCATTTGTGGTATTATTTCTTGAAGCCTTTTTATATTCTCCTTTCTAAATGTGGATCCGATATGATCATCAAATTTTCTAGCATGGAGGTGAAGAACGTGGAAGAACTTGTGAGAGATTAGACCTTATAGTCTTATGTCAGGAGCTCGTATTTTCTGAATTTTGCCTACTAACTTAAATTTGTGGCACTTGAGCCTCATTCAAACCAACAAGACAATGAAGAAGAGAGTGGATTTTTTAAAAGAAGCATCTACTTCTTTGAAATCAGAATATTTGTGACCTTACAATGAGAGGAGGGGAGAAAGGGATGAATCTATACAGTTGGACCACTGTCCTTATTCACACTTTTACGGTGGGATAGGAAAACTGCAATCTCTTCCAAGGCTAGGAAATCCATTCTTTCCAAAATACCAAGAGGAAAATATCCGGCCAAAAACCATTGGAAATCTAAGTATAAAATCAGAAGGAAAAAAAAATTTATCTTGTTTACCCTGTAAAATTGTGTGAGTTATATAATCAAATTTAACATGCTCAAGGTAGACTTTGAAAAGGGGCAGCAAGGATCTCATTATCTTCGATTCAAAAAACTTCTATTGTTCTTGTGTTTCAATAGTACTAAAGTGTTGGATAACTTAGAAACCACAGTTTTAAAAACGCAGTGTGGCTGAATTATAGATTTTAAGATGAATATATGGTACAACTCGAGGTGATCAGCTAAGAAATGATTGTATTCATAAAACTGTGGAGTAGCACCAATAGAAGACAAATTAAGGGAAAATCAGCTTAGGGTGGATATGTTTATGGAAGTCCTAGTATTGCACCAATGAATGAGAGTGGGGTGTTAAATTGAAGAGATGTTTAAATGGAAGAGATTGAGATAGATTGAAATCAATTTCAAATGATGTACTAAACAAGGACTTGCGATATAAGAGATAATAGGATCCTTGGTAGAGAATAATATAGGAGCATCATTCATTGGGCAGATCCCAAATACTTGGGATAAGAGTTTGAAAGGTTTAGTTGGGTTGAGTTTGTATTTATTGTGCATATCTTCTAGTAAATTAAGGAATTATTGTCCTAGCACCAAACCAGTAGTATATTTCTGGGTTGGGGAATGTTAAGTGGGCTAGGCAGCCTTAGTTTTGAATTTAGGAGAGAGATATTGAACAACAGGTATTTCCTTGTTGAGTTAAGGAATACTACAATCTTGACGTGCCATAAAAAATTTTAAAGTTCAAGACACATATCCATTTGTATGTCCTTAGCTTTGTAGGACAAGAAGGATGGGCAACGTGTAGATAATGTGCACTTTTGAAGGTAGGTTGTTTCCTGTTCAAAAAAAAAAGGTTGGTTGTTTTCTGGACAACTATCTTTATCACAATGAGGTTGTACGTATTCCATTACCCAAACACTCTTTCCTATAAAATGCTCTGATGAAATCGAAGAGCTTTAGGAACTAAAACTGAAGAATTTGACAAAATGCTCTCCAACGCCATAAAACCTAGGAACAGTGTATTTACTTTGGCTTATCTAGGGTAGTGTATTTCTTGGTAACCTATTGCTATTATGCTCGTTTTGGTTTGTGAGGTGTTATACTTTCTAGCAGCCGCAGATGGCATATGCTCTTTTTTTTTTTAGGCAGATGAAGATATAGGAATATGGGTAGTTTATTGTGTCGTATGCATAAGTAAATCAATTTGAAGAATCCATTATCGCTTTCTGTTTTTCATTAGTTTCCAAAGATTTTCATCTTCTTAGTATATAAGCCATTTCTTCTTGTCCTACTTGTATATTGTAATTGTCCACTTTCAAAGATTCGACCTTTGGACAAAAAAATCTTGCAAACTAGGATTAAACAACAACAAAGCGACTAAAGAAACTACCCTATATTTACAAAGTAGATGCATTCTCTTGTTCCCTTGTTCCCTTGTTCTTGTTTGGGAAAGATAAGTTACCATTCAGAAAACATCATCAGATAAGGATACTAGAAATCAAACAGCTATACGTAAGAGCAAATGATGTATCTTGGAGGCGGTGTCCCCGTCCCAATCCCATTATTTAAAAATTCTCCCTTATTCTACTACTATTTCTTTATTAGCTATATACCTCTCAAACTAGATAAGCACATTTCTATATTTTTTTTTCATAAATCTTAAGGCCGCCCCCAGGGTTAATTTCTGGTATATATCCTTATTAAGAGCGTTAGCTGAACTTTCATTCCTTTTCCTAGTGGTCTTACAATGCTATATCAAAATATACAAACAAAACTAAATATATTTCAATTATGTATAGCTCGTTAGGGTGTATGACACACAAAACATTCCATTTTGTTTTCTTTAATTCAATTTTCATATATTTTAGTAGTGAGGTCAACCCTGCTACCCTGATTTGGCAGCAAATTATTCTCTTGTATGCTTGAAGTTCATGCCGTGAAGTAAGGGGATGAGAGTGGGACACTTAACATATTTTAAGAATGGTGCACAAATGAGACAGCTATGTGCAACAAACTGAGAATCTCTCTTGCGAAACTTAAAGACTAAAAAAATAGTTATTGGTATAAGTTCTATTTTTCATCTGAAAAATGCATAACAAAGTACGTTACAGTAGTCCATAGCATATTGTATTCTGTTTGTTTTTTCGTAAGTATAATTTAAGTAATTTGTTTCTTAGGTCAACCTTATGCCATTGACTTAGAAATTGCACCCAACACACAGGTTACAAATGGAAAATACTATTTCAATCTAATAGATGAATTAAATTAGATCTCTGATTAGGCCTTTATAACATTGCTCTTTACAAATTACAACCGCATGAGAACCATTTCCATGCTGCCCAGAAAACCAATTCATAACATATTCCACATATGGCATGCAATGCAACTAAGTAGCCAATTATGGGGGTTATGTATAAGTGTGTAGTGTTGACACTCTATTTAAAGTTTGATCGAATAATTGAATTATTTTGAATAGTTATAATTATTAGGAAAAACTATTATTTCAATAGCTGTGATTATTAAGAAAAGACACTAGTTGAAAGATGTGACCATTGAAAAAAAAATCTACTTAAAAAGGTTATAACTTTTAAGAAAAGACATATCTTTAAAAGGATTATGAATTTTAAAAAAATTGCATTTATTTAAAGGTTTGTGACTTTTGGTAAAAGACACCAAAAACTCTATAAATAGTCTCCTAAACTTCTTTCACAAGACACATTAGAATTCTATATAATTTATCTCTCTTCCCCTCTATCTCTCATAATTAAAATGGTTCAAGTAAATTTTTTTGAAAGTTTTTAAATATTGCAAATTGTAATTCTTCACTTCATAAACTTTATTGTATATTAGAAGAGATTTGTCGGAACTATGTAGTAAGCTCTTTGAGTGAGAGTCAATATTACTTTAAAAAAAAGTGATCTTACAATGTCTTAAACATTAAAACTTCAATTTTATTCTATTTGCTATGAAACTTTCCACTCAACTAAAAAACTCTCTCTCTCTCTCTCACACACACACACGGACGCACACACATGCACAAAGAAAAGTTGTAGGTTGGTTTCTTATCAATCAAACCATTGTTGAACTTCAATAAATTGAATTCATACTAGCTAGGCACAAAACTATACCTCATAATGATTAGGTAGGCACTAAACGTGAGAAGCATTGAGAAGTTACTTTGTGAGGACACGAATAGGATAGGAGTCTTAGGGCAATAATCCTGAAGGTGGGCAGTTTCGTTGTTTCAATAATTTCATGGAGTTCATTTGACTTTAAAGATGTAAAAACATCTTCATCTTCAACTGGGATTATGATCTTGACTTAGTTGACGATCCTTTAAGACATGAAAACTTGATTCGAATACATCTAAATCATATATTGTAGGGCCATGAAGATCACACGTGGACCCTGTCGTTCTCAAAACCCATATGCATGCGTTATCGCTCGCTCTTGATGGTTTCGCCATGCTTTCGCTTGTTTCAACTCAGCTTTCCGACAGCTATTGTAGGCCCTTTACCGTGACTCTTTTCCCACGGATTGTGCTAAAAAAGGTCTCCCATCAGAACCTTAAGTGGTGCACTTTGATGAAATTAAAAAGACCACATCATCTCTTTCATCCACTACCAACCAACCAAAAAAAAACAATCTTTAAAAATAAATCCATATTTTACGTCGGAGGAAAGCAATGCATGAGTGATAAATCTACAACAGAATCATTCCAAGTTGGTTGAAAAGAAGCAAATAAACAGAAAAGCATGATAGATATAAGCGTCACCAAAATGAATGATGGGTGTGAATGGAATATGCATGCAAAATAAAAAAAATAAAAAACAAAAAGATAACTAGTGCTGCCAGGTTTTATAAGAAAAATCACACCTAAGAATGAAATATGAGGAGTGGTTGTTCATGAAGGAATATTGACCTACATTGGCATTAGGGTTTCTTCTGGAGGAGAGAGAAAGCGACGTGAATGAGACGTGCATGAGATTTAGATATAAATGAGGATGTGGACATGTTGTTAGGTTTTAGAAAACAAGAGGAAGATAGTGCCGATTCCACGCCGTGCTTTTTGGATCCGTCACCTTTTTATTCCATTCTTATGTTAAACTGTATATAGATTCATATATTAGTTGTATGCATATATACATATATATATATATAAATCTTACATCATAATCTGTATTATTAAAATAAAGTCCAAGGTATCATGATTTTGGCTTAGGAAGAAAGTCTGAGTGGGTCCCGTAAAATGATTTAAATCAGGCAGTGTTCTTTCGATCGTGGGTGGGCGGGCAGCCTCAATAGGTCGGCCTGTATTGCTGACCGCATATATATATAGAGGATTCTGCAGAAGTAAAGGAAAAAGCTAGAGAGAGAGGAAGAGAGATATGATGGGTAAAGTAGACGTTACAGTGAAATATGGAAGGACAATGGTGAAGACGTAAACTTGTGACAAAGCATGACTTCACTACTACATTTCCATTCGCTATCCTTTCGGGACGTGGAAATGACGTAGTTTTTTTTTTTTTAAATGGAGAACTGACATAAATTAGGGAGAATTTATGGAGGGGATCTATTAAAAAAAATTAAAAATATATATTCTCGAGAACCTAAATCTAAAATCCATGAAGAAAAATGTAAATGATAGCCTCGGCACATCTTCAAGGTAAATAGCATTATTTTCACAATTTATTTATTTCAATTGAAATGATCCCGTCAAAACTAATTTTATCATGGGCCAAAATGCCTTAGATATCTACACCATAAATTACAACCAAAGGATATATAGTACCTTAGTTTACATTTAAAATTGAATTAAAATTGTCTTATTAGTAATATTACACTGATCAAATTTTCAGACCAAATTTAAAGTTCAAATGACATGACAACCGACTCATTTAAACTCTAAATTTGATCCCAAAATTTGACCATCATAACACATTACTGTTGTCTTATTTGGTTTGTTCCAAGTGATGTTAAATTTTATGAGACATATTTAATGCATCTGCATGGAACATGTTCGCTACTTATGTACAGTTTGACCCGTGTGCAACCATGATGGCTTGCTATCATGGTCATTTTACCCTTTTTCTTGTGATTTCATGATCAATAAAAAGATGGGGGGTCTTCCTCAGGCAAAAAAAAATAAAAAAAAAATCCTCAGACTATTCCTTAAGCTAATCGTAATTAATATATAAGCAGTACTTACAACCTTAATTTGTGATAATTTATTATGTACTTATGAGATTGATTATATGAAGCTCATTCCTATTTACGATCAGATTAAATAGTGTGTGATGTTGATACATCTCTAATACTTGTCTCCATTTAGCCCAAACTTGCATTCTTGCTTGCTAGTTAACTTATGTATGGTGCATGTATGTGCACATGTGATGGATGACAGCAGATAGAGATAACATGCAAGGGCCAACAGCTTCTACCTTTCTTGACGTTGCAGCATGTCAGAGATAACATATGGAGTCCAAGGGAAGTGGTGACTTTGATTCCAGACTCCTCAACCACTGATCATGTCATGGTGCTACATTATGGTAGGAGTGCTTAATTATTATTAAGTACTGAGTTTTCTATTTATTTAATTATCTCCCACTTGTTGTGTCATTGTTAATTATGGAAGCCATACTTTTTTTGCTTCCTTATACGTTTCTTCCCAGTGGGTTTTTATTTTCTTTTCTTTTATGACATTTTATTTATTTTCAAGTCTCTGGAGATAAACAGTTTGGATAGACCCCCAAAACTATACGACTATGGTTTTGGGGTTTATGACAACACGTAATACCAAAGCATCGGAGGCTTGGTGTTTAAACATTTTCCTACAGTTTCACTGCTTTGGAATTCATTTGCTCTCATTTATTTACTGATCTTTCAATTCCTTTCTTTTCTGTCCTTATTTCTCTTCTTCACCTCTCAAGTTCGTGCTCTAATGCTCAACTTCATGCTCTAATGCTCAATTCATTATTTGCATCAAGCTTAGTGTTATCCTCGCCTGGCAAGGCTAAATTAGAGATTGTGAAAGAGGGTTGTTGATAGTTATCAGGGGTATTCACTCTACCCTACGGGTAGGAAATATGGTCTTCTGTCTTCCTACCCGATATTTTGAGAAAGAACTTTTTCTTGGCCTACCTTATCCGATCAAGTGTGGTATTCATATCCGACTTCTAGCCAAATTAATCGGATAAGAAGTCGAGTAGGAAATTGGGTGAACATTTTTGTAGTTATTAATTTTTGAATCATTTTAATAATTCAATTAAATAACGTGCACCAATTTAACAACACAATAAATCAATAACACTAAAATCTAAAATAATTACAATAACAATTACAATAAAACACAAGAAAGCATAAACATCAATCCATCATAAGTAACAATTATTTTAAGTTTAAACTATATGGTTAGAGAATTAGGGTTTTTAGTTTTTATATATATTAGTCAGTGCACATGTGCGTTGCACGTGGACTATTTTGATTGACAAATGAAATATACTATTATCGAAAGAATACAAATGTGATCCAATAAATAAAAAGTTAGCGAATAAGTTTCAATGATTTGTAGAAAAAAATTAAAAATTAAAAATTTTCATATTAAGAAAGTTTTATTAGTAGTATTGATACAGATTAATTCATTTTTGCTTTTTTGCTTTGTCATCATCATAGTTCTTGTAAATCTAACATTCAATGTGTACTTAATTAGTGATCAAGTAATGCTAGAACATAATTTTTTACCACTTTACCAAACATCTTAATGTGGTCTCAAGAATCCAATAAGGCCAAAAAGATCAAATGTAAGTATCACCTCCATATTGTCAAAAACGAAATAGGAGTATGCTTTAGTTCTCTTGTTATTTGTTTATTAAGATTGGATACACTTTTTTTTCCATTGTTGAGAGGTGATTCTGTAATTCAAGTATTGACAATACCTTCTTTATGATATATACAATTATTTGTGTATATTACTCCTACAAGAGAAAAGAATAGGTGTTAATTGATCTATGAGGATCGAACCTAGGAAGGATAACTTATTTTCACTACAATAGTTTTCTTTAAAACAAAAAAATTGAACTCCTAACCACCTTGCACGTAGGCCATTGTTAATAAAACAAATAGTTTCTTAGCATTTGTAAATTTGTGTTCCAGAGAACTTTTGTAGACAAATTTCTTGCGCGGGGCATGATAGTTGAATTTCACTTGGAGATCTAGTAACACCTATTACTATATCTTATTTCTTTTTGAGGTTTGTTCAACATAAGCAAGATTATTTAGATGTTAGATTCTTGCTTAGCTATTTCACTTCATTCAAATTTCACTAAAATTGTTGAATTCATCATCTAAGCCAAAACAATATAATTAGACTTTTAGGTCATTCACCTAGTCCTTAATATGTAGATATTAATCTTTCAGGCAAAAAATGTTATTGCAATTTGAGTTGTGAATATTCAGCACTAATAGAACATTACCTTGGCGAAAATTATGAGCACAAGTCTATCGAGAATTAAGATTTTCAACACATTATATGTAAAGTCTGAAAAATAATGTCTCCCCCTTCTTTGCGATATAGGATTCATGAGTTGAAATGAGGCTCAACGAATATATTATATGAATATTTTTTAAATTTATTTTTTCAACAACAATAAAATCTTATTAAAAATAAAAATTTATAACTTACTACCAAAAGAACAGAGATCATTCGAAAATACTTTTTAAATGCAATGACTATAAGTAAATAAATAATTTGAAAAGATCACACCTGATCAAATTAAGCTAAGTTCTTGTTTAAATGCAAACAATTATTTTTTTGCCTCTGAATTGACAATGATCACAACCTGTGAAAAGACTTGAAAAGTTCACAACATTATCTATGAAATGTATCATTCCATTTCATGGGTCACACTTTAGCCAATTTAAAAACAGGGACCATAAAATGAAAACATTAAGGCACATGTTCTATTATAAGAATTATATGGATTACTAAAAACCAACAATAATAAAAAAAATTTCAATGCTTCCAAAAACAAAGACTTTATGAATCTATGACCAATTATGAAGACATTTTTGAATTTTAGGTTTAACATATATAAGTTTATCGAGAAGAATTTTATCTATAATTACCCCCTCTTCTCTCAATACAAATAATACACATCACTCAAAACTCAAATTTTAAGCTTTATCAATTTTGGAGCACACCCATATCCACGAAAACAGTGAAGATCAAACTTTAAGCGCTTATCAGTAATTGTCTATAGTTACAATTTAGAATAATCGTCATTAATTCTATACTTTGTAGTGACAACACTCTCTCATCACTAAAAAAAATAAATTTAATGACAAATAAAATAGTCACAAAAGACCTAAAAAAATGTGTCATTAAAAGAGTAATAACGTCACTGAAAGTACTAATGTAGTGATGAAGATATTTTGTCACTGTAAGTTATGTTATAGTGACAATATATTGTCGTCATTAGAGGTCTACTTCAAAGAACAAATTTTAAATTCATCACCTACTCTGGGTCTTTTGTGTTAAATTGAGCTTGTCACAAAATATAGAGCCGTTAATTGTATGATTGTCAATGACGAAAAAAAGTTTGTCAGTAGAAGTTGAGATTAGAGACAAATTCTCATTTCGTCACTCAAACTCTTTCAATATATATATATATATATATATATATATGACTCTTGAAATAATCTGATAAGAGTCGTGTAACAAAACCAATTATGTATTATCTAGTCATTCACATCCAAACGATATATGACAATTAATATAATAACCCAAAACCAAAGAACTTAAAATTAATTTTTCTCAAAAAAAAGTATCATCCAAGTAAATACAAAATAAGTGTATGAAACAAGTGTTTTCCTACTGAATAAAAGACATAAGTACGAAAAAGAAAGAAATAAAAATGACACAAGTGTGGTTCTGTCCGTTGTAAACAACTCGCACCACCAACCATTAATTTGCACATAAGAACAAAATAAAATGATGTTAGTATGTTTTCAACATCCATAAACAATTGAAGATAAGTGTAACTTTTGTAAAACACATCTCATAAACAAGGTTTCTTTTGTATAGATGACATAAAAGCAAAGAAAAAGTCACAAGAAAAAAAATATTGCAATTTTCCCATAGCTAACGAATTTTACTCAATGTTCACAATAAAAGTTTCAATAGATAAATTGAAGAACCATTTTGTATAATATAAATTTTAACACACAAAATTTACACCCTATAATAATGACAATTCTCTAATATGCAAAAAAACAAATGCGTAATATATATAGCTTACCATGATGTAGGAGGGCTAGCCAGATGCCCTTGCAGAAGACATATAGGCTTGAAACATATTTTCAAATTGGGTCTGTCGAATCCTCATTTCTTCAATTTGAGTCTGCTGGGACTCTATCATCTGATTCTGTGATTGTATCTTTTGATTTTGAACCTCTACTTGCTCAAGCAGCTCATGCTGAACTCTTTCAGCCTCGTATGGCCTCCTTATAGCCTCTTGTGTATCCAAAGTAGCTCTTTGACTTGATTTGGCAGATGTGTGGGGCTTTGGGTCATGCCCGAGACCACGTATATACCCCGACCTTGTTCCAAGTACAAGGTCGCATATCTGATCTGGATTTAACATGGTGCCACCCTTTGGTATAGGTTGGGATTGCAACTCCAACATCTAATTCTGCAATTTTAAATGTTTAGTGCAACAACTCAAAAATTTGTATAAAATCTAAAAATTGAAGTATAATATAGTACTCAATCTTACATATTTCAACTCAACTTCATCGCATGACCACCCTTTCACTGGATTATAATGAGTGTCTCTGTAGAATGAAATTCGATCAGGCTCCTCATTAGTCTCTTCATTTCGTTGTATGATTTACAATTAGAATTAAAGAATATAAAGTTAACAATCATATTGTACTAAGTAAAACTTAAAATCATACAATATTATATACCATTTCATATTGAGCTGCCACAAATGACTTTGTACCCATGAAGTGGGTAACTCACAACTTGGCTCGATTTGCCTTGTTAACTTCACATCGTTTCTGCATTGAAACAATAGGCATGTTAATGGGTTAGATAATCTTTTTATATTAAAATATTGCACATTGTAATTGCACCTGATAATCAACATCAGAGAATATGTTGCATAGATAATTTCAATCCTCCTCTTGTACTCCATCATATGGGTGCTCTGTTGCAATGTCAATACTGTCAAATTTATTAAAATGATTGCGAAGATAATATCGATAAGTCTTATATCGACATTTCATTAGTTGCTCACAACAATCCTTTATATGTTCTTGCGTCATGTCTATGTTGAATTTTGCCTAAAAATCAAAATTACAAAAATAAACATTTGTTGTAGATAAAATCAAATTAAAAAAAATCAAAATAAGGGGAAAAAAAAAAAAACCTTGACTGGATTGTCACTTACTAAGATGCGGTCATAAAGGGGAACCTTATCCTCTTCATTTATGTCCTTCCATTCTTTCACCCGGAGAGGAGCATATTGGCAAACAATAACATCCAACTCATTGGTAAAGGTTGCTGCTCCTAGCCCAACTGGTTTTTTCTTCTGCTTAGGAATTTTGATTCGCAGCCTACCAATGGCACGAATGATCTTTTCCGAACCAAGACATTTT